TATTGTTTAAACCCAACAGCTGTTTCACGGGTGAAAGATGTGACAATCTGCTCACAGCTGTAACCCCTATGTGGTAATTCTGCTCTAGTATATATGTCGTTGTTATGTGCCATTGAGTCACTTGTGACTTATAGTGACCCTATGTACAACAGCCCTAAACCCTGCTCTATCCTGTGCCAATCTTATTGTCTCGACACACCTACCCCCATTACCCCAGTCACTGAATCGATCCATCTCATTGAGGGTCTTCCTCTCCTGCTCTGTCCCTCCACCTTCCCAAGCATGATGTCCATCTCCAAGCCTGGTCCTATCTTGCAACATGTCCAAAATATATCAGACAAAGCATCAGGATCCTTGCCACCAAGGAGCACCCTGGTCTCACCATCTCAAGGATGAACTTGTTTGTTCTCCTAGCAGTCCAAAGTATATTCAATCCTCTTCTCCAAAACCACAGCTCAAAGGCATCAATTCTCCTCCTGTCATCCCTAGCCATTGTCCAGCTTTCTGATACATAGCAAGTAATTGCAAAGACTATGGCTCTATTATATAGGGTTACTATATAAAAGAGTTTCTATGAGGTGAACTTAATTTGAAGACATGTTGACAAACAAATGTGGTTTGTCATGGTCTCCAAATCAATGAGTGTATTTCAGACGTATTATTCAATTCAGTTGGTGTGTTTTGTTGTTATGTGCCATCGAGTTGTTTGTGACTCGTAGCGACCTATGTACAAGAGCTCTAAACGCTGTTCTATCCTGTGCCAACCTAGCCATCTCAAACATACTTATTCCCACCTCTCCAGTCGCAGAATTGATCCATCTCATCGAAGGTCTTCCTCTCCTTCGCCGCCCCTCCACTCTGCCAAACATGATGTCCCTGTCCAAGGACCAGTGTCTCCTTGCAACATGCCCAAAGTATGTCAGATGAAGCTTCAGAATCCTTGACTCCAAGGAGTATTCTGGCTTCACCTTCTCCAGAACAAATATGTTTGTTCTCCTAGCAGTCCATGGTATATTCAACACTCTTCTCCAGCACCACAGCTCACATAAAATAATAATTTCACTGATTAAAGTATCTTCTTATTAAGAATTTCATTGCATGAATTCCTAGTTGTAATGTATTTGTGGTTAATAGGTACTTTTAAATGCATAAAAATGGTGTACTCATTTACTATGAGTCGTATACTATGCCACTATTTGATGAAAATGTTTTGAAATGTATATAGTATTTCGAGTGTCTTTTCCCCACTTTAAGTGGCATCCTAGTATGCAGACAAGAAGGGCTAGTATACAGATAAGAAGGTCTATCAGGGATTTTTTTCCCCCCTTAGTGTGGCCAACTCACTTTTTTTTTCTTTTTCAGTTAAAGAATTTCCATCGGAAAAAGAATTTGAGAATTACGTTAAAGATGTAAATAGTGCTAAGAGAATGGTAGCTGGTATTGTTTTTGACCTTGACCTCCAACAAAGGCATGATGCTTTGCCATCTCAGGTAAGAAAGTGTTCTGTAGGAATCTCATACTCAATTGCTAGTTCCAGGGCCTCACCGCACCCCCACGTCTCCTTAGTGGTATCATTATCCTGTTGCATATGTGGGAAAACTAACTTGGCCAAGTTCATATGGCTTGTACATGACAGAGAAAACATTTGCATCCAAATCTCAGTAAGTTTGGTGTCTGTGAAATTTAGCCAATACTAATAAGGAAATATGTATTTATTACTCTCCAACCTACTGTTAGAGAAAGACCCTTAATGCAGTGAACTAACTTAGTGACTGTAACAATGTGTTTGAGCGCATCAGAGAGGAGGAAGGTGGTGCTGGATAATGCAAAGGTCCAGGTACAGTGTTAATCGGGTCAGGCTAAGTCATAGTAAGCTTAAGGGCAACTAACAACAACAATAGTTTGTCTTTATTAATTCAAAACCCTATGGAGCAGTGATAACTAGTATATCCTCTTTAGTACTGTATCTGATAGAACTGCTGCCTATAAGCCTGCAAACGTTGGTTAAAGTAAGTAGACATTTATAAGGTCAAAGAATCTAATGTGATTTAAAAAATAATATGTCTTTGTTAATAGGGAGCCCAGCATAGAAAAATGTTCTGTTTTGGGGTTCTTTTCCTCAAAATCTACAAACTAACTCTACATCTCAGGTTAAAACAAAAAGTCTGGAATCCAAAGATACTAAGGAAGGTTCTAGTAAGAGCTCCCAAGGGGGCTCTGGTGGCTTCTTATTGTTATTTGCTGTCGAGTCAAGTACGACCCACAGTGATCCTATGAACAACAGCCCTGAATTTTTCCCTATCCTGTGCCGTCCTCACTGTCTCTGGTACACTTGAGCCCATTGTCAATCCATCTCATTGGGAGTTTTCCTCTCTTTCACTGACCCTCCGTCTTTCCAAGCATGATGTCCTTTCCCAAGGAATAGCCTATAGCCTCTTCTAGCAACGTGTCCAAAGTATGTGAGAGGAAGCATTGCCAACTTTGCTTCCAAGGTGCACTCTGGTTGCACCTTTTCCGAAACTCGTTCATTCTTTTGGCAGTCTGTGGGATATTCGATATTCTTCTCTGACACCACAGTTGAAAGGTACCAATTTTTCTGTCATCCATATTCATCGTCCAGCTCTCAGGCACATGTTATTGTTGTTGTTGTTGTTAAGTGCCGTCGAGTCGCAGGCGACTCATAGCAACCCTATGAAGGAGAGTCCTTAATGCTTGTGTGACTTTCATCCTTTCTCCAGGTTCATAGGGTTTCTGGAGGCAAGCTATTATGGAAGTGGATGCCGCTCCTGCTTCCAAGCTTGTTTTAATCGGGGAGTTTCACCCAGCACTGCCCACTATGGGTAACCAACCATTAATGCATTTGACACGTAGTGTCACAGCTCAGACAGTTAGCAAATAATTTAAAAACCATGGCCTGAATTAGGCATGCCTTAGTCCTCAAACTGACAACATCACAGAAAAATGGTGTGGCACTCAGAATGAAAAGAACAATTTCAAGGTCTCTCCTAACGTACAATGTTGTGAGTGATAGGATTATATCCACTCACATACAAGGCAGACCTGTTAACACGACTATTATTCAAATATTTGCACCAACAACTAAAGCCAAAAAGAGAAGACTATTGAGGATTTCTATGAACTTTTATGGTTAGGAATTGATCAAACATGAAATCAAGATGTGTTAATAATTATTAGAGACTGGAATGCAAAAGTTGGAAATAATGAAGAAGGAATGGTAGTCAGAAAGTACAGACTTGGTGACAGAAGTGAGGCAGGAGATCAAATGAATGGATTTTGTACATTATTCAGTGATTTATTCATAGCAAATACTTTAAGAAACACAATGGTAAAACAATTACGAGATATCATCTCTCCCCAGTAAGAATAGCAAAATTTAAGAGAACAGCAGACAAGAAATGCTGGCGAGGTTGCAGAGAAACGGGAACCCTTATTCACTGTTAATGGGAAAGTAAAATGGTGTAACCATTACGGAAGGCAGTATGGCGCTTTCTCAAAAAGTTGGAAATAGAAATACCATTTGACCAGCAATTCCACTTCTGGGAATATATCCTAATGAAACAAGAACTGCATCCAATCAGATATATGCACACCCATGTTTATTGCGGCTTTGTTCACAACAGCAAAGAGATGGAAACAACACAAGTACCCATCACCAAATGAATGGATAGAGAAGCTCTGATATATTCACACAATGGAATATTATGCAGCATTAAAAAAGGAACTAATGAAATATTATGCAAAATGGGTGATCCTGGAAGACAATATGCTGACTGAAATACCTCAGTCACAAAAGGACAAATACTGCATAGTGCCACTGTTGTAAAGTCGGACTGACATTGGTGTTGGGGGGGGGGAGTAAGAGGGGATAAATAATGTATACTGCACTGAAATAGATGAGGGAGAGAACTGTTTAGGAGGAATATATGATTAGGTATTATTGTCATGACAAGAGTCCAGAATGAAAGCTGTGTAGTGGAGTGGACTGGGGGGTGGGTAGGATTGTATAACAATGAAAGAATTTTTTTCTTTTCAAAGAGAAAAATCAAACTTGGGGGAAGGGGTGGGTAGGGAGGAAAGTGTGCAACAATGAATGAATGGAAATCCAAAGTCTCTGTAAACTTTCATTGACATTTTTTAAAAAGAGGGGGATCCAAGATGGCGGCAGAGGCAGAGACAACATGGTGAGCTGTGGGAGCAGCAGACCACTTGGAAGAGGGCCACTATGGCCTTCTACAGACTTATGTTTATTGATAATTGAACAGTTAAACAGTTGATGACTGGTCTTCAGTGCGGATTGAGGCTCAACAACAGGAATTCAAGGATTCTCAAGGAAGAATGGGTGAGTGCCGCAGCTCCCAACCCCCTCCCACAGAGCCCTCACTGTGCCACACCGCAGCTGCTGCTCCATGAAGCTCCCAAAGCCAGAACCTATGGAATCCCTCACCCAGGATGGAGAGTGAGCACTGGGCCTCCCCAGGACTGGTGCAGCTGAGCCGCCACACTGCAGCAAAGTGGACTGGTTCTGGGGAGAATTCTTGGAGCCAAGATGGCAGCGGCAGGGGAAACGGGCAGCCATTGGCCTCCCACACGCAAGATGGTGCAAGCCCACCGGGCGCCCGCGCTGGGGGATGGCGTGCGCCCGCCAGTCGAACGTGTGGGAGATGGCGTGCGCCTGCTGGCCACCTGCGCTGGGGGATGGTGCACAACCACCGGCTGCCTGTGCACGAGATGACCTGTGCCCGCCGAGAGATGACACTCGTCGGCCGAAAGATGATGTGCGCCCACCGGCCGCCCGTGCTGGGGGATGGCGCACACCCACCCCTACCAGCTGCCCGCGCACAAGATGGCACACGCGAGATGACGGGCAAGATGACGGGTGCCCACTGGCTGCCCGCACTGGGGGATGGCACCCACCGGCTGCTCGCACATGAGATGAAATGCGCCCACTGGCCACCCCCGTGGGAAATGGCACACGGGAGATGGCGAGTGCCCACCAGTCACCTGCGATGGGGGGTGGTGTGCACCCGCCGGCCGCCAGCATGGAAGATAGGTTGCGCGCCCCACTGCCCGTGGTGGGGACGTGTGCCCCGCCACCTACAGGTTTGGGTTTCCTTGGAAAACCAGAGATGATCACCTATGCAATGGATTGTTGAAAGTCACTGTGAGTTATCTACTTGATGACACTTAACAGTGGCAGCATGTCCAAGAAGACCGACATCCTAAATGCACCACATATTTTTATCTGTTGAATGCTTCTGCCAAAAGCTGTTTAAACCTGGGGGGAGCCTGTTCACAATTCTCAGGTTCCCTTTGCCATTTATAAAGGGGGAGGGCAGTGACACCTACTTCAAATTATAGTATGACCACTTATGGTGGGGGAGTGGTGGTGCTGGAATTGGAGATGCTGTCCCTGGCCACACAGTCCTCAATCAGGTGAGGGGACCAGATTGGGGTGGGGGCAGTTAGGGGGGAGTGTACCAGCCAGCCCATTGGGGGTGTTGCCCCATTCGGGATGGGCTGTCTTCAGCCCTCAGCTCGGGGCGAGCCATCATGGCCCTCTGCCCGGGGCAGGCTGTCTTCGGCCCTCGGCTTCCTGGTCCAAGTAGAGGTTTCACATGAGTACACTTTGAGTATCATATTTTGCACCTCCTACATTCTGCTTATTAGTGAATGTTTGCATCTCCTTGTCTTCCTTTGTCTTCAGGAAATGAATGTCCTTTTTTGGGTGAAAGCATTACTCCATCTGAGTCATCAGGAGGCAGCTCTTCCCTAGATACATGTTGTTGTTTTTTTTTATTTAATATATACTGTTTGTTTTACACTGGTTTACTTACAAAGATTGAATACATTGTTTTACATACTGGATCTTTCCCATTTCCTTAACTCACCCCTCCCTCCACCTATCAAATTATGTGACCTTATGATTATGCACACCCCCACCCATCCTCACCCCTGTGCTTTCCTCCTTCTCCCCTTAGATCCTCATACACATTTTTACTAGTTGTCTAGTTCTATAATAGCTATTCCACTGCTTGGAATATATCCTGAGAAAATGAAAACTGAGACACAAATGGAGACTTGTACACCAGTGTTCATAGCAACATTATTCACCATCGCAAGAACATGGAAACAGCTCCAATGTCCAACCACAATGGAATAAATTGAGAAATTATTATATATTCACACAATGGAATACTACACAGCACACAGGAGCAATGATTTTGTAAATCACTACCTAAATTGGGAGGGACTGGAGAGCATTATGCTAAGTGACCTAATTCAGTCTCATAAGGACAAATACTGCATAGTTCCATTTTGAGTGCCTTCCACCTTGAGGGGCTCATCTTTCTGTGCTATGGTCAACAATGTTCTAGCCTTATTCACGGGGTTTTCAAGGGCCGGTTATTTCGGACGTGAATTGCCAGTCCTGCTTCTTATTCTGTCTTAGTCTAGAAGTTCCACTGAAACATATACCCCATGAGAAATGGAATGCATAAAGACTGATGTTTGTCTGGACATTCAACGAGGCATTAGTGAGCCAGGGTGGACTGGTATTGGTCCTGTTTGAAATATCAGAGGCCATAGCGTCCAGCATCCACAGCAACACACAAGCCATCACAGTACAACAAACTAAAAGATACGTGGTGAGACTTTACTGTATCACAAATATATTTGCTTCCTCAACTAGAACTTGAACTCCTTGAGTGACAGGGTCTATCTATGCCTTCAGTGAAGGGCATGTGGTTCGAATCCACCAGCTGTTCCTGGATGGACAGTCTCCTTCTGTGCTATTTATTCCCTCTGAAAACCTGTTGGAGGGTCCAGCTGTGGGTTGGTTCTGACTTGATGACACACAACAACAATAACATCATATTAATATTTATTGTATTCTCCCTTTGTTCTTACACAGAATTCTTGTGTTTTTTTTAATTGTTGTTATGTACCATTGAGTCAGATACGACTGACATAGGAGGAGATTGCCCCTCCTTCTCCAGTGGAACATCTGGTGGATTTGAACCGCATGCCTTTGAGATTGCAGCACAGTTTCTTGCCAGTAGGCTACTAGAGCTCCCTTCACACAGAATTCTTACAGCCACTTTTTTTTTGGGGGGGGGGGCGGAGAGATTGATTGCTCCAGAACACTTGGATAACATAAAAAGGAGACAAATTAATAATAGTTGTTGGCATGTTTCATTCCTGGATGTGTGTCACCTGTTTGTTAAAGAGAAAACCACGGTTTTTTAGTGTGTATTTATTTAGGAAGGTCTGGTGACCTAGTGGTAAGAAGCTATGCTGCAATCCCAAAATCTCCCTGTTCGAATCTACCAGCTGTCCATGGGAGAAAGAAGAGCAATCTCCTCTTGTATGATTTATGGCTTCTAAAAACATGCTGGACCTGAGTCAATTTTGACTCAGTGGCACACAGTAACAGTAACAGTGTGTGTTTGCTTACTGCAGATCCATAATACATATTCAAGTGTTGTTGACACTTCCATAAACCATTTTATGAACTTGAAGAAGATCAACTTCAAGGAAATCTGACTTAAATGACATATAGTCAGAGCATGCAAGCCTGAGTCTTACTTGCATTTTTACTTCATTTTTTCTCTCGTTGTTTTAGTAATTATCTTATTTGGTATCGCTTGTTTCCAATTGTTTTCTAGGTAAGATATTATCTCCGTCTTAGTAGTTTTGACAGGGTGCAGCTGTTAAAAGGAAGTCCTCCTTTGAAATCCTGGAGAACAGTTTTCCTCTTTTCACCTATTTCTCCTGGAGGACCCAGAGACGTGCTTGATATTACCGGGGGAGAGCCTGGTGAGCAAATCCTTTAGCAGATAATTTTAATGTTACAGTTGTCTAGCAAGGAATATTGTACATATTTATAATTTTGGTTATTTTGTGATGAAAGCGGTTTCTTTTAAACTTAACGTAGGGGTGTTCTCTTTTAATTGGTTGTAGTTGTGTGCCTTTTATGCCTGCAATCTTGAAGGCATATGGTCCAAATCCACCAGCTGCTCCCCAGGAGAAAGATGGGCAATCTCCTCCTGTGCAATTAACTGCCTCTGAAAACCCACCGGGAAGGTGAGCTATGGGTCAGTTTTACTCGATGGTACACAACAACAACATAGCCTGAGGGATCCCTGGTGGTCTAGTGGGTAGCAAGTTATGCTGCCAATCCAAAGGCAGACAGTTCAAATTCACCAGCTGCTCTGCGAAATAAAGATGGGCAATCCCCTGTGCTATTTATAGTCTCTAGTCTATAGCAATGACTTTGATTTTTTACTTTTTAATACAGCCTGATTATTAATATTGTTATTGTTTACCTTTGAATTAGGATAAAAATTGTTAGTTACTGACATGTTGTTGTTAAGTGCCATCGAGTCACAGGCATAGCGACCCTATGAAGGAGAGTCCTCAATGCTTGGGTGTCTCTCATCCTTTCTCCAGGTTCATAGGGTTTCCGGAGGCAAGCTATTACGGAATTGGATGCCACTCCTGCTTTCAAGCTTGTTTTAATCGGGGAGCTCCACCCTGCTCTCTGTCCACGTTGGGTAACCAACCATTAACGCATTTGACACATCAGTGTCACAGTGTTCAGCCTCACAGCAACCACAAGTGACCTCTGTACGGCAACTTGTACACCAGGGCTATATGACCTAGAGGAATATCTGAACAAAAACAATGAAAAACAGGCCCGAGGGCCGTGGATTAAAAGTCACCCACCTTTGGCTTGGTAGCATCGCTTTCTGTCCACTGGGCCAGCTGATCTCTCTCTAGGCTGATGTTATTGACATAGCTACTTTTAATACCACTATCATTCAAATTTTTGCACTAAGAACCAGAGACAAAGAGGAGGAAAGGGAAGATTTCTACCAACCTTTGCAGTCAGAAATCCATCAAACATGCAACCAAGATGCATCAATAATAAATGAGTGGCTGGAATGCAAAACTTAGGAATAAGTAAGAAGCATCATGGCCAGGAAACATGGGCATGGTGGCAGAAATGAACCTGGAGATAGAATGGCACAGAATTTGGTACAATCAATGATTTAATCATTACAAATACTTTTTATGAGAAACTTAAATGGTGACTATAAACATGGATCTCACCTGATAAACTACACAGAAATCATATGGATCACATCTGTAGAAGAAATCGCTGGAGAATCTCAGTATCAGCTCTGAAAACGAGGCTATGTGCTCATTGTGGAGCAGACTACCAACTATTCATATGTGAGTTCCAGCTGAGGTTAAAGAAAATTAGCACAAATTTACAAGAACCAAAAAATGTTTTTCATGGTAAAGACTGTCTTATCTGGTGACAGTTAGTATAACTCAATAAATACTGATCCTCAAAGAAGAGCCCTTTTTATCAGATTACCGGTCCATAGTGCATGGAATTAAACTGAAACAAGAGCTAGAATGATAACTTGAAGTCAATCCTGCTTCACAAGAACCAAAATTTGACCTAGAATCGATCCTGCCTGAATTTAAAAACCATGTCAGAAACAGTTTTGAGGGCTTGACACTAAATGAATGAAGACGAGATGAGTTGTGGGAAAATATTAATAAAATACCCATCCAAGAAGAATGCAAAAGGCCATTACAAAGACAGAGGAGGAATAAAAGACTGACATGAAAGTCAGAAGAGACTCTGAATATTGCGTTAGAGCACCAAGAACTCAAAGAAAAGGGAAGTTAAGGAGCTGAACAGAAGGTTTCAAAGGGCAGCTCAGGAAGACAAAGTATTATAACGAAATGTGCAAAGAGCCAGAGTTAGAAAATCAAAAGGGATGAACTCCCTCGGCATTTTTCAAGCTGAAGGAACTGAAGAACAAAGTCAAGCCTCAACTTGCAATATTTAAAGATGCTATATGCAGAGGGTCAAGGACTGCAGCCTCCAATATGGACTGAGGCTCAATGTCAAGAAGACAAAGATTCTCACCACTGGACCAACTGGCAGCATCAG